TTCTTTTTGGCCGGTCGTGACGGGCGATATATAATGCTGTTAATTGCGAGAGAACGTTGCCATTATTTCTTAAATCATTTCGAAACCCCATATTTCTCGCGTCTCCATTATCGCTCGGCATAATTTCGCACACTTATCGAATACGATTTTAATGGGGTTCGAAAGTAAAGAGCGAGACATTTCTCCTTTCGGTCTAATGGATTCCAAATAATTTAATACGCCACAAAGTCGCTTTTCAACGAACCGCTCAGCTATTCGTCCGCTATCGGAAAAAAAAACTAATATTCAGTTAAAAGCAATAAATCTACAATGTTCGAGTCGATTTGCCCCGTACGACTTTGGTAAAAGTTTTTTGTGGTATTGAAACTTTTTTGTGACGAGGTAGAGGCAAACTCCACCCGCGATGATTTATGCTCTGTACTACCTGATACTTGGGCCACGTTAATATTTAATGTAGTACAGAAAATTGCTCTACTTCTTTTTATTTCCAATTCGGTATCTAATAAAATGGTGATATCGAAAAAACAGCGAAGGCCATCATAGGTTTTCTTTTATCACCAATCAACGACAACTATAGAAATCACCGTAGTAGTTTACGACACCATTAAAATCCATGGCGAAACTTTACTCGGTTGATGAGATCATAGAATTGTTCTGCGCAATTTCGTATTTCACCCGAAACGTCTTCCCTTTGCCCACTTTGTACACGATTATGCCGAAAAATATTTTTATTAAGCACTTATTACCACAATAAAGGCCTTCAATGTTTTTCTTCTTCGTTATAACGTTGGTACGCTTTAACGTGGATTCTCATAACGTCCTTAAATGTTTCCTCACGCAGTACCGTATCTGTTATACGGTACGTTGACTTTTCCCTTTTTACCCAATGTTTATTATACACTTTGATGTTATCCTTCGGAATTACTAAATAATAATAAGCATTTCGTTATGCTCAGTCTTGCGATAGTCCTTTTGATTGAAGATGGCTGGTATACATTTCACAGGTTATGAACGGTAATGTCATTCGGAATTTGCGTTTATTAAATTTTACGCTTTATAGTAGAAATTTTTGTATTTTATTTTATCATCTGTAAATAATATTTGACTTTTTTGTCTACATTTAAACTTAGATTTTGTGATGGAATCTAGGAATAGGTTGAGGGATATACACATCGCTTTGAGTGTTTAAATTTGTTTCTTTATTGTACTAGTAACAAGATTATTCAGCGAGTCTCTCAGTTGTCAGAGATTCCGTCCGTTGACCTATAGGTTAGATAGTGTAACTTCTCGCGCCCGTGTATTATATTGCTTTCTAAATTATACACATAAACAAGGTGGGCTTACCTACTTTAATATTCGCAAATGCATATTTTACTTCATTTAATTTTGCATAGAAGAGAGAAGTGAAACGTAAATGTGTATAATGAGATGAGTAGATGTTCGAAAACCCTATAATCATGTCATAGTTCTGAACTCACAAACCAATGTTAAGAGGCACAATATGTTATTTTATTACTTTAATTTATGTATGTCATCAAACAAATTGAGGAATTGAAGCAATCGGTAAAATACTGAGGCTTTAAATGATCATAAAATATTTTCAACCTGTTTTTCCTTTTGCATCAAATACGATGGACGCGTGCTAAATAATATTTGTGTGTTTGTCTTGTTCGAGAATGCCTATTACAGTAGAATCTTTAAAAGTACGGTGGAAATATATCAATGACATTGTCGCGAGCATACCGAACACGCGGGGGAACTTTCCCTGTCAGCGAGTGCTCCCAGTCGCTGAGCACCAGCGTAGTTTAGAGGAACAGGGGACGAGTGGCTAAGGGGTGACTCAGCGAAGGGCGGTGAAGACGGAACGACTAGTGTAGCGCTGAATGGACGCGAAGCAATAACGGCGTAAGTGCCACACCGTCGTACAACCGCAACGCACGATGACAGCAGTTTACCATAAACTTTAATAACACGAAATTGTTTATGCGACACGGGCGGTGATAATCGAAATTTAAATATCTAGATCGGAAATGTCGGAATACATGAATGGCGTTCACTCGGAATAATAGACACAAACCACACATATGGACGGTAAACTCTGAATTATGCATGGCCCTGTACATACGATTACCATGATATTTTTTCCCCTCAACCGAGTTTTGAAATCTGGGTGGGGGATTTTATAAGAATTTGGGCGGTCGTTCAACTGTGAATTCTTACAGTCCACGTCGATACGCGTCGTTGCGAGCCTCTAGCTGGTTGTTTACCCATGTGTTAAGTTTCTTTTACTTATGCTAATTATTTGTTACAGGTAAGCATCTCTGTGAAGTGGTGGCTGGTGGTATTTATACTGCAAACTTCTGGAAAAAGACTATCTACGGCGGTGGTATGTATTCAGCAACCTTCTAGAAAGAGTGTAGGGATTATAAGGGCCGCAAAATGTCTCATTAGTAGGTAATGGTGCATAGCTATTTGGGCGTTCAGGCTCGGGGCCTCGGCGAGCGAAGAACGCGCGAACTAAATCTCGAACACGCGTCCGCGCACGTATCGCGCCGATAACGAGCGGCCGCCGCTAAATCGGCGGGTTCAACGGCCTCATTATCGGCCTCTCGCGAATAATATATAGGACAGTTTTCGGCACATATCGTCGCGCGGCGCGTCAACTGGAACGGACCGAGATCGGCCCGTTGCCGCTTACGTGATTCATTTGATGAGCTGTCAGAGTAAGGTTAAAGGTCGACGACCCGAGCGGGAGGACGTTCGGCGATTTCTTTCACGTCGAAAACAATCGCGGCCCCTACGCGTGGTTACGCGAGGCGGCTAACTGGGATCTATACTTAGGCCCCTACTCCCGTATGTAGGATAACAATTCCGTCAAAATATACCTCAACCACTTTGAAGGTAAACGTACACGCGCGGCATTTCCCGATACGAGGTTAGCCTCGGCTGGCATTCGATTCTCGATATATTTTTTTCACCCGCCAGCCCCACTGTTTCGCGCGGCATTATTTACGAGCTTCTCGAGAGCGAATCACCATAAACAGAAACCCGTTTGAGTTGCGCTTTAGAAACATCGTCAACACTCGTCTTCTCTCCCGTGTTTGCTTATACTTTTGACACGATCGAGGATAATGTCACCAGCGATCGGAACGGAAGCCAGATTTCATTTCTACTCCCGTGCAATCCCGTTTCGCGGTTCGAACTGGCCGTACGGGATTTACGAAAACATTTCTACCGTACGCCTCTTGCGTTGCGTAGTTTGATTTTTTTTCCCTGTACTATTTCCGTGTGGTGTGGCTCACCGCGATTATTTTCAACAAATGCGTAGTTACGCGGAGCGGGTTCGTCGACCTCATATATTATGTCGCACAAGTTGCGGCGAGTGTACACAGCTGTTAAGCGCTCGTATAATTCACTCGTGTGATTTTTTAATTGCCTAGGGTCAGTGTTAGATCTCGTTTCTGCTTTGCCCCCACGTTTTGCGCACGCCTGTTTCGTTTCAACTGTATAACTGGTAGCTTTGGCTTCTTCATTTTAAGTAATTCTTAATGTTATGTTTTTAAATATTTAATAAAATACATTCTGTGCAAGAAACTATCGAATGAAGATGTTTATTCTTCGTAATTAATATTTTTCTTTGTTCATGCTGTAACTTAGTTACTTATGCTAAGCCATTTATAAGTATTACGGTTTGTTTTATGCAAATATTTACAATAATTCCTGACAGTGAAAATAAATCCGATGCGAGAAAATTCGTGCTCGCTCAAGGTATATTGGCCTTCCTCGATTACAAATGTAATTGAACGATTACGTATGTAATTGAGCTATTACCTAGGTATATATTTAAGCGTCGACCCAGTTATGCCATAGAGCCGTTAGTCCCGAGTGCGATAACCTAATACGGACCTAGCATTTATCTTGATAACACTTGTCTATCACTTTCGAATAGCACACTTCACTTATCTGCGGAATGGATTCATTCGTGAATTTGTATTGTCAATGGCGAATAACAGCGTATAACTCGCCAAATAAATCGCTAATTTCTCGGTGATTGTGGTCGATTGTGAAATGATTGAGGCGGCTACTTTGTTTTCGGTTATTCTTCACGACTATTATATCGATATATACAACCCGTTGTCCGAACGACTATCGGACTTAGCAAATGGCGCGGAAGTTTGCCGCCTTCGCTAGATGGCGCCAGTCGTACACATCCCAATTACTCGACTCTATGGAAATGATGCCCGAATACGTCTCGATTGATCACTCACTAGACAACTTCTTACGGCTCCATCGAAGCGGAAACTAGTGTAGCGGACAAAAAAAAAATAAGGGCATACTGCGTTGACATAATACATTTCGAACGTAGTGAGTCGGTCGAAACTTTACTACCATATGTCCGTAGTGCGGTGATTTATTACGTCGATTGGCACAATGTGATGGAATGGCGGGGAGAGTTTCGTATGAATACATCACTATTTATCGTCTAGACGTTTTAGCTGATGGATCGGGTCTACGATTGCGATTGGCGATGTTGACCACGGGATAGGTGGGATTGATATATTTTTTGCGCGAATTATAAGTGGCAAAAAAGGTCGGGCTCTTAAAGTCATTCGTATCTGGTTCGAATGACTGAAATACGATAAATCATTTTCAAAACAAGATCACTAATCGGTGGATCAGATTATGAGCCTTGACTGTTAGAAGCAGCTTAGAAGTCGTCGCAAATAAAACGTGAAAAGCATGCCTCATATGTGAAACCGGTCATAAACTCCGTTTCTACTTTTATTCGGTTCGTTTTGGCTTGTGGCGTAAGAAGAGAACGATGTGAACAGACATTGAAGGGTGAACGCTGCTCCCGCGACTGCGAAATCGTGCGAAAAATGTTCATAATTTCACCCCATGTTAAGTAAAACGTCTGGAAACGACTAGTCCGCGCCAAAATATGCTTGATTTCCGAACGTTATCGCCTCGCGACAGCTGGCGACAAAGCTGTCAGCCTATAGGCCGATGCGACGTTCGGAATCAACGCTCGTCCGGAACGGGGGATCACGGCGCCGGTTTAATCTACGTTTATCGTCGTCTAACAGCCCATTGTGCAGCCGGCCCGCCGCTAGGGCGGACATTTTAATCCGTGCCCGGCCCGTCGCTTCGCCCAATAACGGAATACCGCGAATTTTTCCAAGCGACGCCCCCTCCCGCAAACCGGATGATATTGTTAATCTCCGTTTAGATTTTTTTTCTCCCGTTCTGTCTCCCGTCTCCCCTGGATCCGTTGGGAGGTGGACTTGATTTGTTTTCGCGCGATCGACGTGCATACGTTTCCGTTTCAAGAATTAAAAACAACTTGTTTTACTGGTATCATTTAAAAATTCGTTGACGCTAATTAATGCTGTTTTATATGTGAGAAGGTCGCAAGCGTGCTAGCGGTTGATATGATGTTAAGTGATAACCGCCGTCCATAGATATCTACAAATCCCGTAGGGTGGCAGATGCGTTGCCACCAATAAAGTGGGCCTGGATGCCTCACTCATCAGACGAAACGCAGAAGTATAACACTTCTTCTCCACGTCGGGCTTCCGTGAGGTCGTGTCTACCTGATGGACCTGCCCATTCCAGGTAGTATTAAAAATTATCGTATTGACCTACGAAATATAAAAGTCAATGAAAATATTCACCGCATGAATTGTAAAGTTATTAACGCCCTGTACAAGATATCGAGTCTTAAATTTAATTAAATATTCCTTAATTTACTATAGTATTTTTGCATGAATGAATGTTTCATAAAATTGTAAAAGACACATGACATTTCTATGTTATCAACAATAAAAAAATAAAACTTACTAAATAAATTCAATGACAATAAAAGTTTCAAATTACTAAATATTCGTAACAGATTATCGTTAACTTTTAGCGACTATGGAGATCACAATAAAGATAAATACAAGCACAATGTTCTTACATAAAAAAAAAAACTTATTTCTTATTTAACGGGTTTAGTTAACTTTTCATTCGTTATGAATGTTTTAACCGTTACATAAACATTTACAACACTATATAAGAGTCGTCAGCTTAGACTCCGATTTCAAGACCGCGCCAAATCCTCCGTTATCATAACACACGGCCGATAAATGTCCTACGCCCTGTGATAACGATGGTCTTTACAATATACGCTTTATTACAATCGCTTAAAGTTCTTTATCATTCACGGAGAGTATCGTTTTCGGAGGAGAATTCGGCTTGATTTTTGATCCGCCGAAATGTGGGACATTTCACAATAAACGCTTATGTGTGACGTTCCAATTTCAATTGACACGTCCCTCAATCTGCTTAGCATTCTTTATATTTAAATTTAGAATACACCTCTTTTTTAATTCCTTTGCATCATCGAGTTCTTGCTTCTTCTGAATTGGATTTGAATTTAGAACACACAGAAACACTTATTTTTTTTAATTTCCTGTGTATCATCGAGATATCTTACTTCGTTTGCTTCTTTCGAACTGGCTGGAAATGATGTCCTTGAAGGATTATATTGCGTTCGATCTAGATGAGGAGGGAGACACGATGTCCTTATTGAAGGTCTATCCAATTCGACCATTAATGTACTTAGAATATACCCGTATTTTTTTTAAATTCATTAAATTATGCAAGTTCGATCACGAGCATTGTTCAAAGTCGAATGTTTATTAATCGCGCTTCGTGACCGGTCGCACACGAGCGTGTAATCCGTTTCGACGATCGAGAAAGGCGATCCAGCTCACCAGTTTTACGTGGACGGTTGATATTTGCGAGTGATTTATCGCACGGTGGGACCGATCGACTTGGGAGCGCACGCGTCCGGAATAGTCTCTTGCGGGGACGAAATCAAAAAATCACAATGCTAATGGAGCGTGGGCAGTGTTTAAGTGAAAAGTTGGTGTTTAAAAAAATATATTAAGGTACAGTAAAAAAAAGCAATACAAAATTCAACTTTAAAAGTATGCTGTAACGTAGAAACAAATATAATTAGTTGTTAGTTGACCAACTTGAACTGACAGTGATCTTACAGGTTAAAGTCTTCCACGTTTCATCAAGATTCAGTACCCGAGACGTTTTCCTTCAATACCGCCTATAATAAACATAAAAATCACTGAATGCACGAACGCACGAAACGCTTAATGGACAATTTAATGGTATATTTACCAACTTCCATGAGTAATTCGCCCAGTTCTTTTCTTCGTCCGTCACCAACGAATTGTGTCGCCCTTGTTACGGACAAATTGTCCGTGAAAGAGAACCCAATCGCAGCTACCGGAGCGTCGTCGTGACAAATCGCAAAAAAGATACACCAGCTATAGGGCGTGTTTAAACGCAGCGACTGTACACACGCCAAAGATCGTTTTTTTAATGTGAAAAGTTCACAAGCAACCAGGCGGTTCACCTGATGTTAGGTGAATACCGCCGCCCATGGACATCTGCTACACCCGAGGGTTGCGGATGCGTTGACAACCTTTTGAAAATCGGGCTCCGGCCACCTCACTCACCAGACGAAACGCGAAAGTAATGGTCATACTTCCACTTTACGGCGGTCTTCTGCGAGGTCGTGGTACTTGCCCGGACGAACTTGCCCATTCGTGCAACAGCCGAGGCTGCTGCGTGGCGCTGCCACAGTTGTTCGTGTGTGTTCGTCTCTCGAAACTGTACAGGCTGAGCGGCCCCATTAATAACACTTTTAATAATAAACTGGCTAGTTCGTTCGGAAAAGAAAGCAGCGGACGGAACCGCGCGATAATTCAGTGGCCGAATAAATTCCGCCGCGATACTCATTTGACACTTGCGATTGACCTTCTCGGAACGAGTCGTGAAGTTCGCTTTTACTGGCGGCGGCAATAAATCTTGACAGGTAATAATTCGTTTCATCTGCATATGCATGCGCGGATTGGAGTCTAGGGTAGTATCCGCACTGGTCCGCTGAAAGCTTTACAGCTTTGTGGTCAATTCATTACCTTCACCGACCGACCCTCGTCTCCATTCAGCGTGCTCCAACTTATGGGCTCAAACTGTTTGTACATAATTACTCTCTAGATTTCTCCCCAGATTCACACATCCGACGTACGATATTTTTCATAAAGAACGCCGGAACGGTTGCATTAAACTAATGAAAGCTCCGCGCGACTTTGCGGAGGGCACTACACGACTCCTCCATTTGGGAGCGGCGTCCGTTACGATGTCGGCGCGCGGTAATATTTCCGCAGGCGTCTAAAACGATTGGGCCCGGGACGCCTCTACCGCGGGGTCGAAGCTGGGGACCTTTTAATTTCGCAAAGTGTCCCCGCGACGCCGCGGGTCTCCCGACCTTTGGTGTTAACGGCGGCGTAAATCGTGTCGACGCGGCGCGGACACTATGACTTATTAAATTTTAACACGATTGTCTCAGCGGCCGTGTCGGTACGGCGAACGGAGCGCGACCCTAGAAGTCTTAACGGGGACGAAACACCGGTCGAGTCTAAGAGGAATGATTCGATGTAACTGATCGTCGATCAATTAAAAGAAAGAACGCAGACTGGAGTGGTTGGGCAAAGGCAGATCCCTGCGGGGCATAACTAAATAGTTCCGTTTCGGATCTTCGATCGGATTATGCTGAATCTGATCTACAATGATAAGATACAAGGCAACTTAAAGACAGATGCTTAGTTAATATTATGTTCATCTCATCAAGCTTACAAAGTCCCAAAGGGGCGTTCTTGTTCTACAGCAGTCACAAATATGAAACTGTGATTTTTTTGTGTGTTGTTCCTACTGTGACAGTAGAAGAGAAGACCTTATACGATGTGGGACGACTATAGGTATAAAGAAAACAGCTGGTCAAAGCTAGATAAAAATTTCCAAAATCTCTGGACCAGAGAAAATTAATATTTAAACCAACGACAGAAATTCGATTTAATATTATTATGAAAAACTCAATTCATTGGGCTGCGAAATCCGATTTACTTCCTCAGCATTTATCCTACTAATACGAGTACGAGTTTCTAGAAAGGTGGGAACGGTTCTGTTTGTCTATAGAAGTCGCGCGTCATCCACAGCGACAAGATGGCGGCCGAAAAAACGTACAAACGCCTTTTTGCCGACAATCAATTTTCCAATTAACAAAAACATCGATTGTCGTCTAAGAACGTGACGTCACCCGGGGAAAGAACGGAGCGCTGCTACTGTTGTCGGATAATAACCGCTCACCCAACAATCTAGTTAATCGATTGAAAGGGTGACGCTGGGGAATCGATTCGATCCGAGTTGCTCGAACGCTGAGCATTTCTTTCTCAACGCTCACCGAACTGAGCCTACTCACAACCCGAGCCGTGATAACAGCAAGGCTGAGCGGCGGTTGAACGACCTTCGCGTGCTTGAACCATAACTGTTCATACGTAGACAATGCGCGCTCACAAACAGTCGGCGGCATAACGAACTTGAGCTCTGCCCAGAGTTCAGGGAACCCGGCGTCCGAATGGATGAGCGTTCGCTTATTTATGATGTGAAACTAATGAGGGTCCATTCGTTATTCCGTGTAACCCAAATAATAATCGAAAAATTATTCAAATGTCAACATTGTCCCGCCCGTAATGGATTAAGTCTGCTTGTGTGACGTGTATATAACCTCTTCGGCGTTGCGTGTAATTAATTCTATGATAGACACGATTAATCTTCAATATACACTGGGCCTGTGAAATTCTGATGAACCGAACTTTAAGATCACTGGGCGAGAAGAGTGAATAAGGAGTTAATATGGTACTATGTTGATATAGTACAATTTTTTTTTTACTAACTAGCTAATTTCTTACAAAAGACTTGCTTGAAGTAGGAATATTAGATCTAGTTGGCGACGGTTCTAAGTACTGCGTAAACACACTGTCCATTTGTCCAGCATCTTAAAAATAGACAACCCACTAGGCTGAAAGTGTTTGTGATCACTCCTTCACCATCATCACCTCCCTCGCTCGCCAAAATGATTTTGGTGATAATCGTTCCGGGACTCGCGTTCTTAAACAGACAGCGTCAAACCACCTTTCGACTAAACATGAGCAAGACGTGTTATCTAGCATATAGACGATGATGGAATTGCAGGCCTGTGGCCTGTCTGGCTATGACCAGGCCTGTCTGGGATATATCCCCAATGCTCGGGAGAGTCTGCCCAGAGAAAGATGCGCTTTGTTTCACGTTACAAAATCAATGAAAAAAAAAACGTAGTATAAAAATTGTCTATTGCACAATAACCGTCGACCTTCGGAGTCAGACCCGTAACTTGAACAGTCGCGTTAAGTAATTCGGTGCTTTTATTAATTTA